AAAGTGGAAATATAATACTTTCGCGTATCGTCTGGTGAGTGAGGTGGCCGGAGTCCAATTTTTTCCAAAGGTTGTCAGCACATCTGCAGCCCTCGCGTCTAGCAGATGTCTATGGGCGGCGGTATTCACTTAACATCAGGTGAACCGTCTGCTCGTTTGACAACTTTTCGCATAAAAAAAAGTTGATTGAGTTAAAATAATAATTTAAAATGTGAGCTAATTTTAATAAATTTGTCTATACACATACTTTTAAAGCGAAATTTAAAAAATTACTACTTAATTTGCAAAAGGTGGAGTGAAACCAGACATATAGCTGATTGCCTGTTTAATTGTACTATCGGGTTTTTCGGTGTATATGTCAATGAACATTATGAATTTTGTTATATTTTATCGTTCTTTATCCGTATTTAACTTTATATATTGTAATTTTATATTGTTTTATTTTATTTTGAATATTATTATTTGTTGCCTGTGTGCATGGAGCTAAACGCCAATCTTTTAAGGCATCCGCAGAAAACCAGTGCCGTGGTACGTTCTGGCTACATACTGAGCGGACACCTTTTTGGTGCATAATTTTTTTTTGTTTTTATGATTTCAGTTTTATTCTTGTTAATTATTTTCCTGATATGTTATGCGCTAAATAAACATTTATTTCTTCTTCTTTCTATCTTTCTTGATTAAATGAATACACTATAGGATTCGGATCTGCGTCTTCCGGTATGGCGCCCAGACAATATCTACAATAAAATCACATTTTTAGTTTCATCTTGGTTGCAGAGACTAGCACTAAAAATAAAAATTAATCCTAAAATTAAAGTAACGATATTATTTTTCTGCGGTAATAACGATCTAAACAAGTAACTCATAAGGCCTATTCGGAAAATAATATGAATTTGTTTTCTCTCAATTATTTATGTGAAAGCCCATTAATTGCTGTGACTCACTGTCATATTTCTCATAATCACTGGGTGCAATCAATGTCTGTAATGACACAACAATGGTTGTGTCATAATTTAGAAATGATTTGAAAGCTCTTGAATCCGTAATATACAGTGGGAACTTGGACATACGAACACGTAGTCACCCTAACTTTGCAGGTATCAATGTCTTTGTTGTACTGTCCTTCTTCGCCTATCTCATTAAGGGACTGCCTTTTGTCCATTGAGGGACTGAATTTTATATAGCCTTTTTATCTACTATTATCTGCACTTGACAATGAACAAGACATAGACATCATTAAAAATATCACACTGCATGTATAGGAGACTGTTCAATAACGATGTTTTTTCTTATGCGAAAGGTTGCAAACGAGCAGCTATTACTTAAATATAACTGATGTTAAGTGATAACCGCCGCCCATTGATATTTGTAATACCAGTAGGGTTGCAGATGCGGGTACAAACGTTCTCAAAATTTTTAAGTAAAGTCTGTGCCCAGGCAAAATCTATTTATATAAGAAATAGAATTCTAAATTCAAATAATAAAATAAAAGCCACATGGGACATCATTACCCGTATGTCTAGAAGACCCAAATATTCAGGGAACCTATAAAACTTATCATAGGTAATACTCCCATAACATCAGACAATGAAATTGCAAATAGCTTCGGAAATTATATATGATTTTTGATTTTTTCGACCTTTTAATGGGCCCCGGCTACCTCACTCACCAGACGAAACGCAGAAGTATAACACTTTCACTTCACGCCTGTCTTCTGTGAGGTCGTGGTTCTTACCCGGACGGACCTGCCCATTCGTGCAACAGAGAAGACTGGAGTGTGGCCCTACAACAGTTAAGATGTCTTCTCAAAGATAACATATGTCGCATAATTCTATTATAATAGTGTATTTTATAACAACGTGCGAGTTAAGTAACACCCATAAATAGCATTTTGCGCTACAGAATTGATTAAACCTTTAGACCGACAGAAATTTAATTCATATCGATAGAATCATTTCATGCGTTAGATGCAGCCTTCTTTGGTAAACGTTCTAGCTCCGTAAATATCCATTAATTTCTGTCTCAAAGCCATTCACATTTTACTCGATAGAAAATCTGATGTCGTCTGATTGTTCCAGATATATCATTCTTAATATATAATCGTTTAAACCTAAACGCTCCAATTTCTACATTCCGCTGCAGCGTGGGTTCTATCCGTGCGCTAACAGTGCGAACGTGCCTCCGCAGAATAAACACCACGTCATGTTCCCACCAATTGTATATTCATGACAATGGCTTTTGAGAATATATTCCGTATTTCTCTTCCATTCAGTGTCCCTCCTCGGCTACTCCTAAATGAAGGAACTTGTTTTGAATCATCATTGTTTTGTACATCAATTTGGCTTTTAGAATTTAGCAAATGAAATGTTGTTTATAAGAGAAACGTTATATCTACTTTGTCATTTCTTTCTGTATAGTAGCGGCCATTAAAGTCTTTTATCAGTATGAGTGGTGTTGCACTTTGTAATAAATATTAAAGGTATATGAAAAAGAAGCGAGGATGACATAAATCTTACTTATGTTTTTGTTATTAAATTTTGAATAATTTTCCGTTTTTACATTTTAGCTGTAATCAGAACTGAGCAGTAGTTTCAGTTAGAATTCACGAATTCAAAGATTCAATGAAAAATGCCAAGACTCACGAAAAGCCGGCGTAAATAAGAAGTATATAAATTTTTCGTTACGTATGGCTAATTATATATATATTATATAAGTGCAGTTGCCCAAGTTCTGCTCACTTAAAGTTTTAAAACTTGTAGAAAAAGTACGAAAAGATTGTAACCGCTATGGGAATCGAACCCACGTCTTCGGCATTCGCGGCCTGACGCTTTAGCCACTAAACTAAACGGCTGATTGCCACACCGACGAAAATCGTAACGTCTTTTATCTACATTGTTATTTAGCATTTGAAGCAATGCTTGGCGCATCTATTATTATATCATTTCCAGCATACAAACAATTTCGAATATCGTTTTACAACGATAACTTCGAAGGAGAGATGTCCCCATTGCTTTTAAGAAATTTAAAGTTTTTTATAGTGCTAATCTCTGCACTTAAGATTAAACATTAAAACTTGTAGAAAAAGTACGAAAAGATACTTTAAGTTTGCCAAGGCACAGCTGCTACAGATAGCTATGTGCTGTGGTAATCACTTAAAACCAAGTGAATCACTTCGACATATTTCACGTTCATTATCGCTTGCACTCCTGATAAAGTTAGAATTTAAGTAAATATTGATATGAAAATCAAAGCAAATCAACGTCATTTTTACGAAAATAAAAGAAACGACTTACCATGGTACACCGATGGGGCAGGCTCGTCCGGGTAAATACCATCTCAGACAAGACCGACGTATTATACTACTGCGTTTCGTCTGGTGAGTGAGGTAGCCGGGCCCACTTTATTAAAGAGTGTCAACGCATCTCAACCCAACGGGTGTTGCAAATGTTCATGGGCGGTGGTTATCACGTGGACCGGCCAGCTCGTTTGCCACGTTCTCACATAAAAAAGACCCGCAAATCCCGTTAGCCATGTGGCTACAGCGATATGTTGACGTTGCGAAACTGTTTGAATGATCGAACGTAAATATTCGCGAATAAAGAAACAATAGCTCACTGAAGCGGAGCGGCCGTAGCCAAAAGCCAATTTGAATATTTAAAAACCCGGATTGTAATCCGGACTCTTTGCCGTTCACCGTTCGCGATCTCATCTCTTTACTTTGCATTTGAAATGAAGTTGGCCGTAATATAGGCTCAAGTAAATAAACTCCAGTTCCCGACCACTAGCCTAATTTGCGGAAGAATATTCCCAAACAGTTTTTACAGAAAAATGTTTTCGAAAAAAAAAATTGAAAATGTTTAAAAATTAAATTGAAATAGAATTTCAACGGCAAATGCGAAATCTTCGCAGCAACTAATGACGCAGCTTCGATTCCCGCAAGTTTTCTAAAAAAACATCGAATTTTAAATATCATCTTGAGTAGAAAAAATTAAGCCCTAAAAATAAATTAGTCATTAAAATACAAATGTATTTTACAAATATTTTATGCTACTTTTTGAAGATTTTATGTGAAACACTGTCAAGGTAGCATGCGGTACAAAAGTGTTTACCGCCGGCCATGGTCATCTCCAACACCTGAGGGTTTGTTGATGCGATGACTACCTTCGAAAAAGTGACTTCTTGTTACCTCACTCGTTAGACTAAACGAGAAAATAAAATACGACGACTTCACTTTCGCAGGCCGTGGTACTTTCGCATATGAGTTTTCCCATTCGTGCAATAGTAAAAGCTGCTGCGTGGCCCTACCACTAGAAATTTCCCATTAAAAAAAAATAACATTTTCGATATTAATTACTAGATAACTATTTTTATATGAATAAGATATAACTTTGATATAACATTCTATACATATTCGTCACGTTAAAACATAGCACTTACTTTGATGGTAAATTAAATAACGATTAATGTAATTCAAGCCATATTAGCTCTGAATTAGGGGACTCAGATATTGTTCGGTGTGCCCCAGCAACCTGAGTCTAAATCCAAAACTAGTTAATATGTAAATGATTAAGCAATTTGTAACATTTAAATGTTCTATTATGAAGATTAGGTACATTTTACATAATCTGGCATTTAATTTCTTTTGTTCATTATTTCGTTTAAGGAAGGTTGACGTTAGGCAGGTGGCTGATAGTAAAAAAATCAGAGCCCAAACCGCTTGTAACATGATTCACATTTTGTGCTGACCGTACCTAGGTAGGATAAGGGCAGGAGGATGATGATGATGATTTTTGACATATTTATATGTCAAAAAACGGTACTCTATTTTTTACGTATTTAATAAATTTTGGTATCAAAATCTCACCGATAAATTTATCCCAAAAGTTAGTACTTAAAAAAATTGCAATTATATTAAATTCGAATTTCATTTAAACTTAACACTTAAAAATTCGCAATTGAAACATTCTCCCCTGAGGACTCTACATAAACGCTAGCGCGGGATGAAATCACACTCACGTAACTTATTCGCGATAGATAGTTTACGTGCTCCATATCCACCGTCGCTCATCACGGGCACTAGTGAGGTCCTCGTTGATATTCGAGGGGGCTTATCCCGTCGTAGCGACACTAAACAGGGCGACGCGACACTCCCTGAGCCCCGGCTCGACGTCGCGCCATCAACCGCCAATCTAATAACACCCGCCCACTAGCGCATTGGTTCACGCGGGCGGGCGCAAGTCACGGGTTGCAGCGTGCGGTACATTGAATATGGTCACTTAGCTAAAGAGGATGACTCGTTGGCGCCGTTGTTAAGCCATTGGCCTCGGCATCGGGTCCGTGGGTTCGATTTCCACACGTAACAAGTAGTTGTGTGACCCACATACAATTGTTCCGCATCTGGGTGTTGGTTCCCAAGGAGGGTGTCGTCGGGTAGGTCAAAACCGCTTACTACATAATTCACATGGTGTGCCGACCCCATCTAGGTGAGATAAGGGCAGGAGGAAGATGATTTGCCGAATAAAACATTTATTTTCTCTCCGGTGTCCCGTATTTTCTTAAATAACGTCGGCGAATCTTCAAAAGTCGTCGTTTGTGCCGACGGGTTTTCTCCTTACGGTTAAAAGCAATACAACGCGGGTTTCGTCTCCTGACACGTTATATAGACAACCAAGGGCTGCCCTCCGTCAAACTTGGATTCATTCCCAGCAGCACTCGACGCTCGAGTTGTGCCCTCTGTTATACTTTTTTTCAATTATCAACATCAGTCAACACGCTGCTGTTTCTGATCTTCAAGTTATTTTCCTTTTAATTCCATTTAATCATTTGGCACAAAGTTTCCTCTCCTTATGCCTAGCGCAGTATGAGTTTGCTGACACGCAATTTTTTGTCATATTAAATTATTCGTCGTGCGGTATCAGTATTGGATTCTTTGATCGCAGTCGCCCGCCGACCTTCACGTATATCGTCCCGAGATATCACATCTAAGGCTGAATATTCCGAGCCACGAATACAAAGAGCCGCGACAAGGGACTTCATCACTAAAGCAAATTGAAGTCTTTGGCAACTCTCATTTTTAGGGTTTCGCAACCAAAGTGTAAAGCGGGAACCTATTACTAAGACTTCGCTGTCTGTCTGTCTGTCCGTCCGCCCGTCCGTCCGTCTATCTGTGACCAAACTCATCCACCAGTATCTCATGAACCGTGCTAGTTAAGACAGTTGAAATTTTCACAGCTGATGTATTTCTATTGCCGCTGTAATAACAAATACTAAAAAAAATGAAATAAAAAATACTTCAGAGAGCTCCCATACATCAAACGCGAGGCGGTTGATAGACAACCTATAGGTTATCATATTGTTGCTAGTTCATTATAGATAATGGTACGGAACCCTTCGTGCGCGAGTTCAAATCGCACATGGCCAGTTCCTCTAACTCTCTGTTGACTAGCTTCTGTGAAATTTATAATAAAAACATTTTGTGATTTTTTCTCTTGCTCATCATCATCATCATTTCAGCCTGTTTGAGTCCACTGCTGAATATAGGCGGCCACGAAGTACGATCCCGAGCCACCTGCATCCATCGACTTCTCTAGCTCAATTCTTTGAAATAAGTATTTACGAGTACGCACAATTTCTAAATAGCGGTTTTTACTAAATATTTTTAACGAAAATGTTATTACAAGGATGTTATTACGTGTAATTTTGCTCAATATTCGCAACAGTACGAGTAAATTTTTTAAAGTAAATCGACATTAAAAAAACTTATATTCCGTGTATAATGGACCTAAAGTTAATAAACGAAAATCTGACGTTTCATGAGTTGGAGAATGGGATAGTGATTTTGTCCCTCGCGTCAGAGGATGTGGGTTCGATCATCAGTAATGGAAAAAAAATATGCGCAAGATATATTATTTTTCTAGTGTTTCTGTGTATATAATACTTAATAAAATTATGTTTATAAGATACTTAAAAATACTTTTGATATGGTATGTTTAGGTATGGTAGGTAAGGATAACGATCGCTTAGCTGAGTAGCGTTTAGATACGTTACGCGGTAGGTGCAGGTTTTAATACTGGCAGCGGCGAAAAATTCTCGAAGGCGCCGGTTCGAATCCTGAAATATTTTTCGACAATAAGTCTAAACATTCTAAGTTCTAAGTGCACAGGCCAGCAGTAAGAATAAAAATCAAATTAAGGGCGTCACCTCGAGAGACGACGATCAATCCGCTAAGACTCTAAAAGGAATCGCTTCCAACTCGTAACTTACACCGCGGAATATTCGGCTCGCTTGATGCTTTCAAAGCCGATGTCTAATAGGCGGATAATTCGTAGCCCCGACGCGGGCCCGGATGATACCTTGTTACCGTCTAAGGCCGCGGATTTGCACTGCGCGTATGCTCGCTCTGTTACGTGCAGCGGATTCACAACACGTATCCGGCTTTGGAAACGGAAGCGTTACGTACCGAGCCTTGTTTGATTGATAAACTCTGTTCGGTTTTTACCTCTACAGCGATATACAGCGTATCGTTACCATCGCGACAATAAATGAACACACGTCTATCGCTACTTGCCAATAATCATAAAAAAATATTAACGTTAAACAAAATCCATAATTAAAAAAAATATTTTTCAAACAAACTAATTAAGTAAAAAAAGAAACAAAATTTGTAACACCCTATACAACTCGCGCACAGCCTCTCCTTCTAACAGTATGTTTTGTCTCTTTTAAATTCATTCAACCCATTCATATGCTTTGTGACCTTTACAAATGAACTTTACGTTACGCTTTTATAGGTAAGGATGTTCTAAAATTCTTTGTTTTGGAAAATTTAATAACTCTGTAAATATTAATGTTTAAAGAATTTAAATGTTTAATACAACTTTAAAAAGTTATCCCCTATATGTGTGTTCATTTATTGTCGCGATGGTAACGACACGCTGTATATATTAATAGTGGCGTGGGATTATTTCCATGGGGTGTTGTTTATAAAATTATTGTACAAGATAAGTTACTACGTAATTATTTAGTGCATTCATATAACCATTTACTCGTTTAAATTAATTTTTGACCTGTTATTTGTAATATCGCGTAGCCCAAAGTAGTTAAAAATAACTGTTTTTTATTTATGTTTTATCTGTGTTAAATTGTAAAATACAATTATGGAACCGGCTGGTTTAATTGACCACTTGGCTGCGGCATTCGTCGAACTTTTTGATTGCAATTCGTGAGCTGGCAGTAATTTTTGAATAACGCTGACCGAACATCGCGCCTCTTGAATGGAGCATTTCGTTTTATCGAATATTAAAGTGGAAATGAAAATGCGGCGGTCACAGTTACCCGACATTGTTACTTGAAATTAACAAACGATCACAATCAACAGTTTAAAACAGTTCGCTTTATTGATATTTTTAATTTTTTTTTCTCCGTCTTTAGAAGCCAGATCCGCCGCCGCTGTACAAAATTTCATGACAATACAAAACAGTGTTTGTAATCGAGTATCTATTATATTGATTGTTTTTTTTTTTAAATGTCATTTTAGCCCGATCTAAATAGACATTCAAGGTTATATTAATTCGCACAGAACTGAAAATTGGCATGAATGTATGAATGTAACGAACCCTTGTTTTTGAAGCTAAGTAGACCCGACTAATATTACAACATCAGTTTTTTTTAATGTGTAAGTTGGCAAACGAGCAGACGGTTCACCTGATGTTAAGTGAATACCGCCGCCCATGGACATCTGCTACACCCGAGGGTTCCAGATGCGTTGACAACCTTTTGGACAAAAATTGGGCTCCGGCTAAGCTTTTCCCACACGGAACATGTATTTGTGTAAGCTACTGATAATTGTTCCCCATTTGAGTGTTTGTTCCCAAGTGGGCTGGGCGTCAGAGAGGCGGCCTGGTATAAGAACCTAGCCAATACGGTTGACATCATGACTCACACGTTCTTCTGTCCCACGTTATAAGATAAGAGCAGGGGAAAATAGTAGAGATGTATAAAAACTGCGGCTTATTGTAAATTTTCCACTTTCATGTCTTTTATTTCAACAATCGATCTACTCGAAGACAACTTTCGATCGGCATTCAGTCTCTTTAATGCCACTGTTTACTCACTGTGTGGATTTCTTATATTGTCGCCACTTGAAAAATGAACGACAAAGCTTTTGCGGCTAGAAAAGGTAGACGTTTGCTCGTGACATTATTTTTCTTTAAAACCAATATCTTATTGTTATCTAATCGCTTATCTTTTGATGTCACTGCCGTAATGAATTAAATTCAAAAGTTAATCCAAACGAATCCCCAAAAGGAACGCGATGAAATGTATTGGAAGGGGTGGAAATCTGAAAATGCGCAATGTAATTTTCTATTCGGCTTCAGCCGCTTTTAATGAAATATGCTTTGACGAACGCTTTCAAGGGTGCCTTTTGAATGGAAATTCCCAAATTAAAAAATGTGTTTGAACTATACTTCGAAAGCGAGACAAGTATGTGGTACTGTTTGAATTGTTCCAACGAAATCATCCTTTAATCCAAAAAACATCAAACAATGCTCGAACAATTCATCAGCGAAATGGACGAGTTCATTTCTCAATAGACTCATATGACCTACGGCCGCGCAAAGTTTTCGAATCTGAAATTTTATTCTTATGCCATTGTTTTATTTTTATGCGTGCGAATAATTCATTTACACCTATCGTTATTTTAAAACGTCCCTATGAGCGATAAATGTGTTAATTTTCGAAAAGAAAATTAGGAACATTTGCCTAAAACATGATTCATTAAACTAAGCCTATCTGATGTTGAATGTTAATATTTTTTAATTAAAATTATGGTGCGAAAATCATAAAAAAGATTAGGTTTAAAAATGTATACATAAAACTGTAAAAATGGCAGCGACGAAAAACAAAGTTTTAAAGACACTTTTATCAATACATTTTTAAGTTTCATATTTAGTGCAAAGCACTTAGTACTGACATTTTGAATTAATCAACATAAGGTTATAAGTTAATGGTCCAGTCTTGTCTAATGTGTCTTTATAGGATGTTTGTGGATTTACAAGGTGAAATTTTGCTCATAGTTATTCCCAATCGTCGTGTCTTGGCGCCCACCGATCAGAAACTATGGGATGTTAAAGCAACGGATTGAAATGGGGTTAATAGGCCTTCTTCCTCCTCCGACACAACGACCAGAGTTATTTCTTAAATATAT